AATACACTGCTGAGGGGAGCAGCGGGCGGGTCAGGAGAGGTCTGCCACGCCATGTGGTCACCTCCGGGGCAGGCGGGGATCTAACTCATGTGGAAACAGCTTTAGGTGCTGTGCTTTAACCCGCTGCACCACCAGGGAGGGCCAAAAAAAAAAGTATGTTTTTAAAAGTCATAGACTAGAAATTACAAAGCTGCAATGTGAAACTAGACACACTGTTCCCAAACCACTTATCTGTACGTTTTATCAGGAATAATGGCAATTTATATTTCTTCCTATTCAAATGTTATACTTTTTGTTTTGAGCTAGGTTGAGAATATCATATATTTATTTGTATCACATTAATATACATAATAAATTATCAGTTTCCAAACCTTAAGACCATCAGAATCCAACCCTTGACATTATTTTCATTGCTTTCTCTCTAATACAAACTATGTGATCTCTTGCCTTCAATGATGCCATAACCTCCTACTTATATGCTTTGCACCCTGTCTTGACCAATCCTGTCAAACCTATTCTCTACATATCAGATCTGATCCTTTTAAAAGAAAGAACATACATATTCCTGCTTCTCAAATATCTTTGGTCACTTCTAACCCTTCTCAGAATAAAATCATCAACTCATACCATGACCTAGTAAGGCTCTTATTTCCTCTATTTAACTTCTCCCTCATTCGCTCCACTGACCTCCTTGCTATTCCCCCAATAAACCAAGTATGGTACTTTATCAGAGCATTTGTATTTTGCTGCTCTCTCTGGGATGCTCTTCCTCCAAATACTCAGTGGCTCATTCACTCACTTATTTCATTCTACTTAAATACTGTAACTTCAGAGAGGCCTTCATAGTTACCTTCTGTTTTGTCTCACCCTGTTTTCTTTTTCTTTGCACTTATTCTAATTTTTATTAATTTATTATTTATCTTCAGTCTCAGTAAATTTTAATCTTAATATTAACTGTAATCCAATTTTAATTTTAATCTTTAATACTACAGGAATTAGTAATTGATGCAAAGATAATAGTGAACAGTTTTAATTTTCACTTTAAAGTGAATACTAAAATTTTCCATGAAATATAACTGTTTTAGGTATTAACAGATGACATTAAACATGTTAAGAAAGTAATTATTAGCTTGTTAAGAGTTTAAAATCAGGCATGGATGTTGAATTTTTATCAAATGCTTTTGTTTTACATATTGTCACAATTAATGGTTTTCTTCCTTCTGGATTAAGGTTAAAGTACAAGGTATTTTGGGGAAAATTTACTTAGACATAATATATAACACGTCAATTTTTTTTTTTTTTGAAGATTTATTTATTTGTGCAGACAGAACTGGGGTACAGGCCAGAGGCTCAGGGGCGGTGAGAGGCTTCACCAGAGACAGAGAGGGGAGCAGAACAGGCAGATCAACGAAGTACACTGCTGAGGGGAGCAGCGGGCGGGTCAGGAGAGGTCTGCCACACCATGTGGTCACCTCCGGGGCAGGCGGGGATCGAACTCATGAGGAAATGGCTTGAGATTCTCAGTGCTGTGCTTTAACCCGCTGCGCCACCAGGGAGGGCCATAACACGTCAATTTTAAAACACGTTGCAAGATTTGATTTGCTAATAGTTTATGTAAGACTCTGAGTTTCATAAAAGTAAGATTAGATTACCATTATTTTCCTCTATGCAGTAACCTTACATGAGCATGATTGTCAAGGTTATAAAATGAAGTAAGGTTATAAAATAAATTCCATTTTTCTTACAGTAGGCCCTTAAGAAATCCCTTGCTGACACCTAAGGAAACGTTATTCTAGAGCCAGTTTCAATATCCATCTTTTCTTTTAAAGTCACCATTTCCAACGTATCAATGATATAAAGTGAAAACTTACTGCAGTTCATTAATATTGGATTATCTCTTCCTTGAAGTAAATAAATTTTTTTCTGGGTAAAAAATTTTAAGCCTAAACTTCTTTTAATGATTATAGGTATACCCACATTTTCTATTTCTAGTTGAGATAGCTTTTACAAGTTTATTATTTGTATTATTCAAATATTCTGTATTTTCTAGTCAAAAGCTTTTTTAGTCTATGAAATAATTGTCCTCTGATTGTAACAGATGTTATTTCCAGATACTTGATATTACACTGTTCAGTTCCACCATCAGTTTTTAAATTCTCAAATTTTATTGTTATATTATGTCAAGATTACTAAGTCTAACATTTTACAGTAATTATTTAAAATATTATTTAAATTAGAAAAAAATGTAATAATTTTTTTTGCTTTTGTGATGAGTATAATTATATAAAATAACATATAAGGGCCTCCCTGGTGGAGCAGGGTTTAATATCTCGGCACTACCGAGCACTATATCAAGCTACAGCCAGCCACTGCAGGAGTTCCATCCAGGTATGTGACCAGGGAGCTGACACACATGGCACAGCAGACCTTTCCTTTCTTGTGTCCTGCTCCCCTGAGCAGTCTGTTCTGTCTACTCTGTCCACTCTGTCTAGTGAAAACTATCAATCCCAACCCCCCATTGCATCCCTGGCCTATACTCCAGTTCTTGTACACATAAATAAATAAAATAAATCTTTAAAAAAAATAAAATAACATATAAATTATATTTGAAAACTTCACACTTAGAATATTTCTAAGTCATTTGAACTTCAAATTTAGAATTTAAACCTTTATCTTGATGATTACTAGTTGTCCCCAGGAACTGTAAATCAGAATCCACACTGCCAGTTTTACCACATATCTGTGATAATCCAAATTGTCCACATTTCCCAGAAATATTTGTTTGATAAGTCCCAGTAGTCCCTTTGGAGGAAAGGAGAAAACAAAAATATTAACATTATTTTAATATTTAGTTTTCATGAGTACATCTGAGTTTCGCAAATGTTGGTATTATTTGTATAGGAATAAGTACAGTATATGTATATATACTATATTATGTATATAATAAGGTAGACAAGTGAGTTTTTGATATTGATAGATCTGATTAGTGGCAGGAGTTAAAGGACAGAATACATACTGGTAAAGAACAGAGAAAAATATTACAAAATATGCAAAAATGGCAGTTGCTTCCTACATGCCCTCTTTTCTCACCATGAAATGTTTTTCCAGATCTTCTTTCCTTCTCCCCAGTAATTAGAGTATATACCTTACTCAAACAGGATCCACTGCTTGTTTGACTCTTTGACTTCCTTTCCTAACATAGAACATTCAGATAGTTTCTAAGCATGTATACAGGCATATTTTCCAGAGCCCTTTCCCTCTCCTGTGGCAGGTTAAGGTTATTCCTGAACAGGGCATTGACCTGAAGAAAATAAACTGGTCTCTCTGGTGTGTAGTTTATTCATCTATAAAAAGAACTAATCATTTAATTCTTAAGTTCTATGATTTTAAAAATTCTCTCCCTGAGATTTTAAACCCTTTTACTCTCATGTACTGGACATCTTCTAAATTAATTCTCACTTCCATACTTTGTGTTATACTTTCTCTATAGATGAAAAAGTTCCTTCTTCCCTCATTTTAATTAAATAGTTCAGCTCAAGTCCACCTTCTTTCCTGAGTTTTTATAAACCATCCCAGTATCTATGATATTTTCCTTTCTTGAGTTCTGAGAGTATTTATAATTTCTATTATTATATGTTGCCATGTTCCCCACCATTAAAAATCTATACATGTAGGTAATGAACTGCTCAATGGTATAGAAACTATAAACCTTATAAAAATCCAAAGTAGTGGGATAAGCATAACTGGATGTGCTCCATTTTTCTCTATTAAACAAACATTAAACTATACAATTATATACTTCATTTAAATGAAAATATTATGGAATTTTATTGCATAAAGGCTAGTATGTTTCCCTAAGGTAACAATGTTTTCTTCCTAAATAACTTTTACTTCCCAACTGGTTTCAGTTTGTCAACACATTGCCATTTTTCTAATTATCAGGGTGCAAAGTCTTGATCTCTACTCCACTCCTTCAACTTTTTATATCCAGTCATCATATTTTTTGAGAACTACTTTATATGTCAGCTGCAAATAAATTTATCACCCTAGTTTCTTTTTCCTTAATGAAAAAGATCCCCATTTGTTTTCCAGAGTTTCATAATTAGAAGCTTAAAATTTTAAGTTTAGCACACATGGATTCCCCATACCCCAATTTTCTTGCCTTTACTCACCTCCCAGAATATCTCAAGTCCATTCCTTATATACACCTTTGTTCTCCTCACACCTTCTCTATAAATGCTTGTATCATAAGCATTCTAAGAGGATACATTCAAATACTACCATGGCTTTAACACCTTTTCTAACTGACACAGTCCAGGACAAAGACCATGTCTTCCGAGCTAGCATAATATTTACTTTCTGAAATACTTAGGCAATTACACATCTTTTCAGTTGTTCTAGGCAAAACCCTTAGAGCACGCTTGATTCCTCTCTCACTCCATTCCTAATCTGTTGGCAAATTGCAACTTTACCTCTGACATAAACACAGTTTAATCACTTTTCACTTACATTCAGTGATCAAAGACTCTCACAACGCTAGCCAGAACTACTCTCTGTTTTTACCTATGTCCTTCTTCAATTTATTTTTTAGTGTAATGTCCTAAACATTCTTAGAAAATATAAGGCAATTACGTCACTACTTTCCTCAAAATGTCCCCACTTAGAGTAAAAGTCAAAATTCATTCAAAAACACACAAGGCCTTAAAAAAGGATTCCTTGGCCCTCCCTGGTGGCGCAGCGCGTTAAAGCACAGCACTGAGAAGCTAAAGCTACTTTCCCATGAGTTTGATTCCAGCCTGCCCCGGAGGTGACCACATGGTATGGCAGACCTCTCCTGGCCTGCCCACTGCTCCCCTCAGCAGTGTACTTTGTAGATCTGCCTGTTCTGCTCCCCACTCTGTCTCTGGTGAAGCCTCTCACCGCCCCTGAGCCTCTGGCCTGTACCCCAGTTCTGTATGAAAAAATAAATAAATCTTAAAAAAAAAAAAAGATTCCTATGGTTTAATTTCATTTCCGTCTTTTCTTACTCATTTCATTCTAGACATACTAGCCTTTTTGATCTCTCTTAACATGTCCTATGATCATCACTGACAATGACCTCTTCCTAAAATTATTTGTTTTTTACTCTTATCTATGTGGTTTGCTACAAATATTGTCTTCTGAATATGCCTTCTTTTATATTATTTAAAACAGCCCTCCTCCAAATATTCCTCTCTTCTGTTTTAGATTTCTCCATAACATTTATTTCCAATGAACTTGCTATGTGTTGCACATATTTAAAGTATGCTTCTCAATCAAAAATGCAAAACAGAAAGTTTTCCTTCTATAGACTGATGTAAATTAAACTCAGTACTTAGAAAAGTACCTACTACAGAAGAGATACTCACTAATCATTGGTAGTTGATTAAGCAAATGTTGCTTTATATTATTACTCAAAGGGTTTCAATGGAAATCCTTCCAGAGTTTTAGGAGACAATTATGTCAAAATTTCTATTCTTTAATAAATATTTATTGTATCTTAATTATCTACTTGATTGTTAATTCTATAAACCTTTGAATGACATATGAATATAGGAAAATCTTTAACTTAATTCTGTATGTTCATCTATTACCTGTACCTTTTACTTACCAGTAGCACATACAGGAAGAGAGTCTGGGTTAAAATCTCGACTATTCTGAAATAAGTTTCTTGACACTCTTTTTCTGCTAAAACATAAATCATCATTGACTGATGATTGACCTTGAGAAGGTTTTAATTTTGGAGATGGGATGAAATCATACGCTGAAAACTATAAGAACAAGACAATAAATTAGCAAATTTATGCTAAGTATATCTGATAATAAATTACATAAATTAGACACAATTATGAAATTCAGATTAAAAGAAAATTTTATCAAATATATAATGACACAAATAAACATCTACATATGTATGATACACTAGTATGGCATTTTTCATTCTGTGATAAAAATGTTGATTTTTCCCCCCTTTCTTACTATTTCACCCCAAAACTTTTCTGTACCTTACCTTTCTACTGTTCACATCTGGGTAGCTAGGAAGGAAAAAACACAAATGACAAAAAGGGTAAAGTGACAGCTTAAACAGTGAAAAGAACATTTCTGATTCAGCATAACCCTGTCACATTATGCCTTGTTTGAGCATTAGACCATGAATGGAAATTGCAAGGCACTAGCCAACAAGCACCCCACTCTATACTCAGTAAGGCAAATTTACCATTCATAACCTACAACTCAAGTGTGTACCTGATACACATAGTAACCTAGATCGTGGTTCTCTAGGGCATTTTTTTATGAAGGGTCTTTCAGTACCCTGATTAAAATCCAGATATACATATATATTAATCATAAATAAATGAGAAGATGATTTAAGTGTTCAGATTTCTTCACCAACAATGACTATAATTACTGTGAATAATTTCATATTCAACATGGCTACAGAACATTAAACAAAATGAGTGGGAACACAAAAAATTATACCTATCTATGTAATATTTGGAGCTTAGAAACATAATCACATCTAGACATGTGATAAAATAGAACTTTCCCATTATGCTTCTTTGCAACTTTTGCCAAATAGTGTTGAAATACAATAAAATTAAAGACATGTTTTTGAAAATTTCTTAGTTACCTGGCTATTATAAAACCATTCATATAAACTAACAAATATACGTCAGATAACTTACTATTCATCAATTCTCCAATTTACCTGCATAACTAAATAACTGCAAATTAATATTATTTCAGCATTTTAAAACTAAAGAAAGTCTTTTGTTTAAAAAAACTTGTTTTATTATAAATTAGACAAATGCAGTCAGGAAAACAATGACTTCTGAAAAGCAAGTAAAAAATATTTAAGATTTCTAAACATTAAGCAAGTTCCGTCTTTTTAAAAAAAATTGTATTATTTATGCATGCAAGAATTGGGGCACAGGCTAGAGGTGTGGGGTCAAAGGAGTGAGAGGATTTACCAGAGACAGAGTAGGGAGCAGAACAGGCAGATCTACTGAAATAAACTACTGAGGGGAGCAACAGGTTAGAATGGAGAGGTCCCTGCACCATGTGGGCCAGTCCCTGGTCCAGCCAGGGATGAATGCATGCTGCAGTAAGGGGCAGTAGTTTGACAGTGCTGAACCTTAACTCCTGCATCACTGGGTAGGCCCAAATTTAGTCTTTTTAAACAAAGAAAACTCAATAACTTTATTATATAGGATAAAGACATGGGGTCCTCATACAGAAAATACTTAAATATGCTGATTTTCATGAAGGTGTTAAAACACATAATAGGCTTTGCCTCTGTTTTTGAAAAGAATTGGACTATCCCAAGTGAACTAGCTTTAGCGAATAAATAATGGTTTACAGTTTATAATTAACTAGCATGAGAATGTGAGGGTACTTTAGGTCCTTTGAGGCTACAATGACAAAACTGCTGACTCTTGCACAGTATCATTAAGCTTTTGCTTAAATTATAGTTTCTTAAAGATAAAGGACTGGTCATAAAGAAGAAACTCAATGTTACTAATATGTTATTAGTAAGTTGTACTTTGCTTTATTTGAGACTAAATTGTCCAAAATATATTTTCCTTCCAACCCTACTAGGTAGGAGACATCCTAGTTAAGACTTAAGGATGTATGTATATTTGTGTGCAAGTTTGTGCATTCAAAAGTAAAGAATACACTGATAAGAGTTTGTTTGATTACAATTATTCCCTGTAATAAAAATGAAAGTAATTTCAATTTAATATTTATTTCTGTATTATGTTTTGGTCTTCAACTATTGGGCATCTATCAAATCATAAATTCATGTGAAATTTACTCAATTATTTTCATTTGATTAATGTCAGTATCCTGATAAAAATCTGTTTAATAATTTTTCTAATACACTTTTTTTTTTTTAAAGATTTACTGGGGTACAGGCCAGAGATGCGGAGGGTGAGAGGATTCACCAGAGACTGGGGAGCAGAACAGGCAGATCCACGAAGTACACTGCTGAGGGGAGCAGCGGGCGGGTCAAGAGAGGTCTCTCGTCATGTGGATCTCCTCTGGGGCAGGCGGGGATCGAACTCATGAGGAAGTGGCTTAAGCTTCTTTGTGCTGTGCTTTAACCCACTGCGCCACCAGGGAGGGCCGTCTAATACACTTTTTATGTAGACAAGTGTGGCACAGGGGTTAAAATCTCAGTGCTATCAATCTATACCGACACTGCAATACTATACCCACATGGAGCAGCAGACATCTGTTTCACCTGCTGCTCTCATCAGCAGTGCATTTCAGCAGATCTGCGTGTTCTGCTTCCCTACTCTGTCTCTGTTGAATCCTTTCACAAGCCTCCTGCCCTTTTCCCTGTAACTCTGCCTACACCCCAGTTCTTGCATGCATACATAAATAAAAATAAATCTTTTTTAAAAAATGGTGAAGGAACTAGCAATTCCTCCACAGTGAATTAAAGGAACAGAGTGCCAACAAAATCTTTTAAAGAAACAAATTAATTAAGTTGTTAGGAAAAAAATGTTCTCAAAAGATTTATTCAGGTATAAAGAAGTTAAGATAATCTAATAAATCACACAAGAATTTGGGCTATTAGTTATGACTTCCTGAGTTCAAATCTGGCTCTGTCACTTATTACCAAAGTAACCTAAAAGAAATTACTGAACTCCCTATACTTAAAAACTGGATAATAGTCTTTTCCTCACAAGGTGTGTGTTTAGATTCTTGGCTAAAAACATAAAGAATTAACACTGGATCTAGTTCAGAAACTAATTTAGTTATTACAGAAATATTCATCTTCAAACCATTTACGACCTAGAATGTCTGCCACATTAAAGAAAAAGGTAAATAAATGTGTCAAATAGCAATATAACAAGTTAAAAGTTGAATAAATGGAAACATCATACATTCTTTTTAGATGTTAAAGAAATGAGGTCACTGAGCAAACTGCTGCCCCCAATATTAGAGAAACCCACAGGTTTGTGTAGAAAATAGAAAACTCCCCCAATGTCCAGTAGAAACCTCCTTCAGGGAACTGGTGCAAGGATAGGAAAATCGAAATTATTACTGACCAATTGCTGTAGGCTCAGCATGACAAGTTTGAGAGTTAAAAATTCAAGATGGACCCACTGATAGAAGGTGGGGGAGAGGTATGCTCTTGCACATTTCACCAGATTCTCAAAGTGAATACCGGCTCCATTAGTCTGTGGAGTAAATGCTAACCGGAGCTTCCACTGCCTTCCATGTAAGGCGAAGGGAAAGACGCCACTTCACCATTCTTAAGCATCTTTGAACAACCTGAGTGGGGGGTAGAGTTTAGAGCTGAGAAACAGTCTAGGGCTACAGGCTCACCAACAGACTGAGACTGTGGAATGCTTTCTTTCTCCTCATATCCTACCATTATATTATCAAAGCCCGATGACTAAAGTTTCTTTTAGCCAGTACATCTTGTCTACTTATCAAAAAAAGAGAAAGAAATTGAAAGAAAAAAAACAGAACAAACATTAAAGAATCATATTGGTAAGAACTCTATTAAAGAAAATTAATAATTAATAACCCTCTAATAATAGAAGCACCCAGTCAGAGATGGTTTCATTGGTGAATTCTACCAAATATTTAAAAAAGAAATTATAGCCATTCTCTAGAAACTTTTCCAGAAATAGAAGCAGTGGGAGTACTCTAGAAACTTCCAGAAACACAAGCAGTGGGAGTACTTTATATTCAGTCTAAAAGGCCAGAATTCCCCTAATAACAAAACCAGATTAGAAAATAGGCCAACATCTCTCACAAACATAGATCGAAAACTCTCAACAACAGATTAGCAAACTGAATTATATGTCAACTGCATCTCATGTGGAAAAAGCACACTGAACCTAATAATATATAAATCTAATTATAAACTATGACCAACTGGGATTTTTCCTAGACATACAAGGCTGGCTAGACATTTAAAATTTAATGTAAATCTACCCCAGTGGTCTGAAGAAGAATAATAAAACCATACAAAAAAGCATCTAACAAAATCCAATACCCACTCATGAGAAGCTAGGGAAACTAAATTCTCAATATACTAGGAAAGGAGCATTTTCTTAACTTCATAAAGAGATCTACAAAAACCCTACAGCTAACATCATATTTAATAGTAGAAAAAACTTGAATATTTCTCACTAAGATAGGTCCAAAGCAAAAAAACCCCCTGCTTTTTACCACATCACAGTGGAAATCTTTAAATATAGTAAGGCAATAAAAGGTAAAGAGATGCAAAGATTGGGATGAGAAAAGTAAAGCTTTTCTCACATGATATTATTATCTACATAGAAAATCTTAAAGGATCATCAAAAATATCATGTAACTAATAAGCAATTACAGAAAAATTAGAATTAGCAAGATAAAAAGTTAACATGAAAGTCAAATTTCCTAAATACAGCAGTGAAAAAGTAGAATTTGAAATTTAAATGTTATCATTTATCATGCTTAGTGAAATAAGCCAGAAAGAAAATGAAAAATAACAGGTGGTTTTACTAATAGCAGGAGTGTAAGGGATAGATGGGGGAGGAAGGTAGGGGATGGGGTAAAGCAGTTGTAATAAAGAAAAAACGAAAAACAATGAACAATTATATACCAGAGACTTTTTATGGGGTGGAGTGGGGAATGGAATAAAAAATGAGGTGGGAAAGGTGCATGGGACTATGGTGATGGTACATGGGTGGACTGGTGGTGGGAAGTCCACAGGGATTACAACTGAGATGGAAAAAGGCACAGAATGAATGATATAAAAATAAAT